TTACTCCGGATTCTAAGGATTCCACGGCGGAAGATCGCTCGGCGATGTGAGAAAAACGATGGAAATTCCGTGCCGCTAAATGTCGCGGCGCGAGATCTCACAGAATTGTAATGCATCTCCCCGCCGGCCACCGTCGTGCTCGTCATCTCGATTACGAGGAAGAGTCATCGAGGCTGATATATTCCGAGTGCTGCACGTGAGCAGCCTGCAGAATCCGACGTTATTGCGAGCAAACTCGGTCGCGATGCGCAATTACGAACGCCATTATCGACAATTTTAATTTATTTAGGGCAGGGGACCCGCGCGCTCTAAATAACGGCAACTACTTTTGCCCATTTACGATAATAATCATCAAGAGAACCAGCGCGCGTTGAGCTCGCGTGAAGGCAGGAGAGGCCGCGTTTATTACGAAAATCAGGTTTTCTCGCGGGGAAGAGAGAGAAGAGCGCGCAGCGGACAGCTGCAGCTGCCGCCCTAAGTCTAGTCTTTGTGTTCCGCTGCAGGTTGGCAGGTGCCAGTTACGAGGTACATCTGCTAACCTGCACGTGTTCACGCGTCTACGTGTGCGTGCGTGCGTGCGTGCGTGCGTGCGTACGGGCGTGCATTCATGCACACAGGTATGAGCAGCGATCCCATGTGTTTTCGATTCGGGCGCATCAGGTCGACGAAACCTCGACGAGCCGGTGTGCAGCCGATCGGGCTGCGTGTATGCAAGTTTGGGAGGCAAATCTGTTCACCTGCCTCGCTATCGCTAGGTGTACCAGGCCCGGCCGGCGTGCAGCCAGGTGCCTCGAGAAAAATCGAGAGCCACGAAAGTCCACCGGCCACGAGATTAAGGTTTGCCCCTGAGCGACCGTAATGATAGGGTGCCGCGCTGGGTGGAGAGAGTGTCCAACTTTATCATATATCTTCTTTTTTTTTCCTTCCCCTTCCTTCTTCTTTTTGCTGTATTTATATGCGGACGAATTTTGCCTGCAACGTTCGCACATGTTCGGATAAAATCACGATCGACCATTAATTTTTCGATTCTTCTTTTTAATCGCGGCGACTTCGTTTTCTCTTTTGCTTAAAAATAAGTTTTTTTTTTTTATTTGTAGTATATTATAGATGTGACGTATATTAGACGCACGGTAGATTTAGTAGTAAGACTATCTTGAATTCGGCGTGTATATTGTAAATTCTTATCTAACTCTTATGCGCTGTTATCCATCTCGTGGGTGATTTAAAGTAGGACATTTCACATCTCTTGGATGTTATGGTACACCAGAATCCTGAATTTATCCCTCTTTCATGCGCTTTCTATTCGTCACAAAAGAATCCTCTACGAGGTTTTGTGTCGTCGTCTCTCAACCCGCGGGGGGGACTACATCACTCATACATTATATGGATAATATAAATAGAACTAGCGGGTCCTGGTACTTCTCACGCATTCAGTTACTGAAATTTAAGCTTTCCCCTTTTTGTGCCTTCCTGTTTCCCCTCTCTCATCTACCCACATAGTAGATCCCTCACGCTTTTTGCCTCGGTACATCCGTTCGTGATCCTCTCTACAGAATGTCGAACTTCTTCTATTCACGTTGCTCGGCCCCACCTTATCCATTAAGGCCGATCTAAGGCAGAAGAAATCCATCTCAGGTATATCAGCGGTAATCGCAGATGGAAAATTCGACCATCTGTCGAACGAATTAATCGCAAAGGTGAGAATAAACCGCTGCTAAAAAGGCCTCTACTAATACTTTAATGCCTCGGATAATTCTGCGCGCGATTGTGCAATAATTACTATGTACACATCGCGAAGAAGCGTTTTTAATTAACGGAAACAATGGCCCGCAAAAGCTTCTCTATTCTGAACAGGGAGCATTGATTGATCGTGGGCGTTCATGACTTTCCTCGATGTTTCAGCGACGCTCTTTTCCAGCGTTTTTATGCGATACTCGCGCTTCCATTTCTATCCTCCGTTGGAAAAAGGCGAAGTTTACTCGCGTGCAATCGGTATGTTTCAACCGCGTATCGATCTTGTGAAGAGAACGAGCACCGTTGCGTAGATACGTGCGTTGACCCGCCATCCGCAGTGACGCAAGGTTGTCCACCGATGTGGCATTGACAATGGTGCGAACGGGCAGATCTAACGAACCTACCGGCTCGTCCTCCCCCCCCCTCTCCCCCTCCCTCCACTCGTGACTTCCTGCCCCGCCCGTGTCATAGATCAGTATTCCGATTCGCGCATTTAACATTAAAATGACTTAGCGATCGCAAGTAAAACCAGACGACCATGTGATACACGCGTATATTTTATCATTTTTTAAACTTTAAGCATTGTAAGATGTAAATTGCTTGTATATTTAGCACATTATTATTGGGAGTTTAATTCAGCGTGTACATTCAAGATTCTATCGATTCATTTTAATGTCAGAGGAAGAAGCTAAGAGAGCTCGCTAATTGGGACTCTCCCTTAGCCAGGCTTGGATCTATTTTCCATTATCGAGTGTAGAGAGTTGGACGAGGTGGCCGCGATGAGTCTTTCCATCAACGCGTTTCGATAGCGTAGGTTCTTGACCGCGTTCCTTATGCAACGGTCATTCTTTCTCCTTATGATCCAGGGTCGCCCTCTAATTGGACATCGATATATATAATTATAGACTCGTATAATTAGGGGCGGGCCCGCCGGCCTAAGAATACATCGATTTCTGTCACTGCGCATTAGCCGCGGGGTCACTGCACCGTTTATAAGCGTCCCGTAGATCCCGATGGCGAATTATAAATCGTCCCGTAATGAGTGCACCGCCTTTGAACCGTTACAGGCTTACAGTTAATTCTCATCGAGAAGCTACGTAGCGGGCGGTGCTCTTTTTTTGCGGGCCGAGAGGAAGAGATCGGGAGGCGATCCAGGTTCGGAGCTAAAATATGAGCCGGGCCCGTATCCAGGATTCTTCGTCATTTTTTCAGGATTTTCCGTTTTTCGAAACTTTTCACGAAGCTACTCGCCATTTCGATCGGCAACGAACCATTTGCGCCATTTGCGACGATACGCGTTTGCGTGCGCGTCGTGCCACATTTGCAGCGAGGCGAGTCTATCGCGCTCCATTGTCCGACACTAACGAGACGAGCTTTAATTATTCTCACATTGTTTTGCAAAGCCCCCGGTCGTCCGATTGCCTCCTCCCCGTCTCCCTCCCCCCTCCCCTCCTCCTCCTCCTTCCCCGAGACGATCGTCGATTTTCTGTTCGTCGAACGCGCATTATTTACGCGCGAAAGAGCGCCGCGTCGATATTTTTTCATTCCATCGTGTTCCGCTGGCCTGATTCCGTTCGTCTGCGAAAACCACATGTCGTTTATTCGCAATATCGAGCATATATCTGCCTCCTCGAATCGAGCACCAAAATGTCGATGTATCACAGGACGCGGTATAATTTCCTTTTTAAACGTAATACAATAATAATTTAAACAACCGCAGAGCAATTAGGGAGAAGCATAAAATATTCATATTTTGTATTGATACGAAGATAATAACGACTGATCTCTGATCTTGATTAGAAATGTATTGATATTAGTAGAAAATATGTTATTGACACGTTTTAGATATTAGAATCTCCTAGCATAAATTTTTTATACGTTACACATTAATTTTTATAAGGTTTTATAAATGCTTATCGCGTAACCGTTTTCCCTTACACAGAATTTTCATTGTTCAATGGAATATAAAAAGATCAGGTGACATTCTCGCGTTTCGCTGTAAGAAAAAAGTTATGTAACCGGTACTCAGCATAAAAAAAACTACATGTTATAAAAGTGATGATTGGTATATTATTTTAGATCTAAAAGACTAATATATACTAATCGAATACAATAGCTTACTAAGTGAGCGATTGTGCTTTTGAATGCACCTGAATAGCTGTATTCAACGGCACAAAGCGATTAGTGAGTATTGGTCTTTACTGTTAGAATTCTAAATTATTCTGTTAGAATTCTGTTTGAATTCTGTCTGAATTACTGTTAGAATTCTAAACCAATTACGTTGACGAGTTACTCAACAATGCAACCCGCTAATGTAAACGCGGTCAACGTATACGTAAAACAATACTCGAGATCATTTTGAAATAATAAGAATATACCTGTCCAACAACTCAGACTCAGTTAAAATTGCATTTTGGTCTACGTGTCGAATCGATCGACATTTAAGAAAACTCCAACTTAACACGCTACGATATTGAAACTCCCCGAGTATCGCTGCAAAGTATCCGAATATCAATATTACCGTATCGATACGAATCATACGGAGCATTCCTGCTTCGCAAAGAGAAATGGAGTGAGGGGGGGGGGAGGGAGCGAGGCTGCGGGATATTTATCACCGCGAGCACCGAACATCGTAGTCGCGGTTCCAATGTATCAAAGAGCATCGCCGGATGAATGAGAGCGCAGCATCGGAATCATAATCGCCCGGGCGTCATTTCTTCGGCGCGCTTATCGGTCGCCTATCGCGGCCGCTCG